AGTCAGGAATCTAGACATACGTCAAAAATGTATTGCCTTGTTTCTTGACCTTACAAATGCGTTTGATACTGTTTCGATACCGATCCTAATTTCAAAACTTCAATCTTTAGGAGTAAGAGGAATTCAGTTATCTTTATTCCAAAGTTATTTAAGTAATAGAACTCAATGTGTTAGGATTGGTCCTTATAGTAGTTCTGACCTGCAAATTACATACGGTGTTCCGCAGGGAAGTATTCTCGGCCCAAGTTTGTTTTTAGTATATATAAATGACTTGTGTAACATCAATCTTTTAAACGGGGTGATCTTTTCCTACGCAGATGACACTGCTCTTGTGTTTCATTCGAATACTTGGACTGAAACCTATCCCCTTGCGCAAAAAGGGTTTGACGTTGTAAAGAAATGGTTAAACGCGCATTTACTTACGTTGAACATAGATAAAACAAAATTAATAGACTTTTCTATTCAAAACATAAACAATTCAACAACAAACTCATTACAAATCGTTGTTAAGCCTCCCCTTGATATAAGAAATAGTACAGACAATAACGACCTACACTATATAAAAAAGTGACATCTATAAAATATCTTGGAATTATAATTGATAATAACCTCACATTTAAAGCTTACATTGAACACCTGTCAAACAGAGTCCGTAAACTTATTTACATTTTTAAACAATTACGTCAATCTGCAGATTCAGAAATCATGAAGATGGTTTATATGGCATTGTGTCAATCTATTTTATCTTATTGCATATCCACGTGGGGTGGTGCGGCTAAAAGTAATTTTATACAACTTGAACGGGCACAGAGAGCTGTCTTAAAAGTATGTTGTTTCAAACCACGTATGTTTCCTACAGACCAACTTTTCGACTATTGCCAAGTACTAACAGTTAGACAATTATTCATTTTAACCACCACTCTCAAACAACATGCCTCAACCAAATATATCCCTGAATGGATACGACGTAACTATCTAGTTGCAAAGTCTACTCAAGTCTGCATTTAGTCATAGATTCTTCATATTCCTTGGCCCCTATTTATATAATAAATTGCATAAAACCTTATCCCTCTTTTCCAGAAATCAATACGAGTGTAAAAATATTAGTCAAAAATGTATTGCCTTGTTTCTTGACCTTACAAATGCGTTTGATACTGTTTCGATACCGATCCTAATTTCAAAACTTCAATCTTTAGGAGTAAGAGGAATTCAGTTATCTTTATTCCAAAGTTATTTAAGTAATAGAACTCAATGTGTTAGGATTGGTCCTTATAGTAGTTCTGACCTGCAAATTACATACGGTGTTCTGCGGGGAAGTATTCTCGGCCCAAGTTTGTTTTTAGTATATATAAATGACTTGTGTAACATCAATCTTTTAAACGGGGTGATCTTTTCCTACGCAGATGACACTGCTCTTGTGTTTCATTCGAATACTTGGACTGAAACCTATCCCCTTGCGCAAAAAAGGGTTTGACGTTGTAAAGAAATGGTTAAACGCGCATTTACTTACGTTGAACATAGATAAAACAAAATTAATAGACTTTTCTATTCGAAACACAAAATATTCAACAACAAACTCATTACAAATCGTTGTTAAGCCTCCCCTTGATATAAGAAATAGTACAGACAATAACGACCTACACTATATAAAAAAGTGACATCTATAAAATATCTTGGAATTGTAATTGATAATAACCTCACATTTAAAGCTTACATTGAACACCTGTCAAACAGAGTCCGTAAACTTATTTACATTTTTAAACAATTACGTCAATCTGCAGATTCAGAAATCATGAAGATGGTTTATATGGCATTGTGTCAATCTATTTTATCTTATTGCATATCCACGTGGGGTGGTGCGGCTAAAAGTAATTTTATACAACTTGAACGGGTACAGAGAGCTGTCTTAAAAGTATGTTGTTTCAAACCACGTATGTTTCCTACAGACCAACTTTTCGACTATTGCCAAGTACTAACAGTTAGACAATTATTCATTTTAACCACCGCTCTCAAACAACATGCCTCAACCAAATATATCCCTGAATGGACACAACGTAACCAACTAGTTGCAAAGTCTACTCAAGTCAAAACTGCATTTAGTCATAGATTCTTCATATTCCTTGGCCCCTATTTATATAATAAATTGCATAAAACCTTATCCCTCTTTTCCCGAAATCAATATGAGTGCAAAAATATTATTCTCCAGTGGCTCCTTAAGCAAACCTATGCAAAAACAGAAAGTCTTTTAGAGGTTGTCGTGTAAAATACACACACACCTACATACATACATGCACACACACACACTCCTACTAACACACACATATACACACACGCATACACTCTCTCTCTCTCACACACACACACACACACACCCACACACACCCTCACACACACACACACACACACACACACACACACACACACATACACACTTTTCTAAGTTTTCTTAACCATAACCAATTATTTCAATTAGGTATGACAAATAAGGAATTAGAGTTAAACTATATGTGTTAATGTTTTAGATATAATAGCATTCGTCGCAGAGGTGGGGACCTGGTGACCTGTGATACGGGTATCTTACCCACCATAGGCACAAGCGATCCACGGGCAAAGTTGTTTTACTTTACTTAGTTATAGGCTACTTATAACTCTAAATGTAACTTTGTTTTGTGGTGAGAAATAAACGTTATTATTATTATTATATTTGTGGGGTATCTATATAGTTTTCTCGTCTGGTTGGGTTCTATAAATATATAATTATAAATGAAAATGAAAAGATAAATATACATAAATATCAATAACATAAAATAAATATAAAAGTAGATAAATAAATAAAAGCCCAACCAGATGGAGGCCCTCGGCAGGGGAGACCAAACGGCCGAGGGTTAGGGGGAAAGGGAAAGAAACCGGCGGACGATGCGGGCGGTATCGAGGAGCACCGCCTTCTGCATTTGAGCCTGGAGCGGTCCGCCACGTAGTCCCAGCCGCCTCAGATGACCCGAGAGGCTGACTGGGATTAGCCCATTCGCAGAGACGACTACAGGAATAATTTCGGTCGGCAGACCACCCCACATGTCGGTCACCTCGTGAGCCAGGTCCAGATATTTTGTTTGCTTATCTGTTTCTGCTTTCACAAGGTTCTCGTCATACGGAACGGTAATGTCGACCAAAAATATCCTTGACTGTGCCCGGTCCATCAGCACAATATCAGGCTTATTCGCAAGAATAGTCCTGTCTGTGATGATGGCCCGGTCCCAATAGAGCCTGGCGCGATCATTTTCGAGCACGGCTTCCGGCAAGTACTTGTAATACGGCAATTTCCGATCCACGAGACCGTATTTCAGAGCGAGCTCCTGGTGTAGAATTCTGACTACTAGGTTGTGCCTGTGCAAGTACTCAGAGTTAGAAAGCGCCGAACAGCCGGAGATAACATGCCTAAGTGACTCACCGGGATGGCGACAAGCTCGACAGATGTCGGCGGTGCCATCCTTTAGGATGTATCTCCGATAGTTGTTGGTCTTAATAACCTGATCCTGTATTGCACAGACAAAACCCTCGGTTTCCCCGAAGAGATCACCAAAGCGTAGCCAGTGGAGGGAGGCTACTGTGTCTACGAAAGGCTCATGTAGAGCCTTGTAGAACCTCCCGTGGAGCTCCTTCTCCTTCCATACGGTCTCCCAGTCGGAAATGCTCTGCACTGCCGGGTCTTGCCATTGCTCGTTGGTCAAGGATAGAGGGGTAAGTCCTTTATCACAAGAAATGACGTCCTTATAGAATGGATCATCCGATCTCGCCAGGAAGTAATCACGGAGGCTGCATACTTCGCGATTATGCATGGTGAGCGCGCTCAAGAAGCCACGACCACCATGCTTCCGCGGCAAGTACAGCCTCATTACCGACGATCTCGGATGATGCATCCTATGGGACGTCATGGTAGTGCGGACTTTTCTATCCAGGCCGTTAAGTTCAGTCTGAGTCCACCTGAGTATGCCAAAGGAGTATATGAGGACGGCATGACAGGCCGTTATATGCGTGTGCCTTATTCACACCGGACAAAAGGCTGTTAAGCACTTTGGTCAAGCGTGCATAAAACACGCCGCAAACTGACTGTTTCATACCAGTCTCATCGATACCGATGTTTTGTGACATACCCAGGTATCGGTATGTTTCAGCCTCGGAAAGGGTTATTAAGTTGACGGGCATAGATAAGTCTATGCCCTCAGAGTAAGCAAACCCTTCCCCTTTCAACATGGAGGACCGCACACTTATCCGTCCCAAGCTCCATTCCAATGGAATTGCTAAATTCACAAGTGATGTTTAGCAATTCCATAAGATGGGAGCGACTGGAGGCGAATAACTTGAGGTCATCCATATAGAAAAGGTGGGTCACTTTTGTCCCTCCTTTCCGTAGCTGAAATCCCCTCCCGGAGCCCTCCAGTAAGGTACTGAGAGGGTTCAGAGAGAAGCAGAACCAGATTGGACTCAGACAATCGCCCTGGCAGATACCCCTTCTTATCCTTATGTGGTTCTCCGTAGCCATCATCCGCTCGCCCAGATGACAAAGGATCGTACTCCACTGCCCCATACACTGCTCGAGGAAGTCTCTAACTGTACAGTCTATCTTGTACAGCTCGAGGACTCTCTTTAGCCATGTATGGGGCACCGAGTCGAATGCCTTTCTGTAGTCTATCCAGGCGGCGGAGAAGTTCCGACGGTTGCGTTTCACTACTTTGACAATGACCGATGAGGAGTGGTTCCTTGGTTCCACGACCACCGCCCCGACATCCATTTTGAGCGCGCGACATCACCTGATTTGAGTCCAGGTGACAAGTGATTCTCGCGCTCAAAATGGATGTTAGTGTCTTGTATATGGTCGGTAGACACGTGATGGGGCGGTATTTGCTCGGGTCTGTGGTACCCTGGTCTTTAGGAACCAAATGAGTGATCCCAGTAGTGAAGAGGCTTGGGAGCGACTTCTGGTTGAGAGCCTCTTGAAACTGTCAGGCGAGCACAGAGTGACACACCATGAACCCCTTCAGCCAGTAGTGATGCAGCCCGTCAAGCCCCGTACTTTTCCAGTTCGGGGCCCTACGGACCGCTTCAGCTACGTTATCCGGCGTTATTATGACGGGGTCCATGGGCGTAATACCCGCACACTGACTCGCCACAACTTCCGTCCAAGGGCCCTCGCTGTGGTTTACGGGCTCTGACCACAGGCCGCGCCAGAATGCTACAGTGTCGGCCTGATTCGGTGCTGGACCCGTTCCACTTACCATTGGTCGCTCCAATGATTCATAGAGCCTCTTCTGATCACTCTGGAAGAGACGATTCTGGTTGAACCGTGTCGACCTCTCGGTATATCGCCGAATCCGCTTTCCCCAAGCAGCGATTCTCTGCTTCAGATCATCTATGCGCTCCGTCAGTTTTTGCGTTATATCCGGCTGGGACAAACTGACATTTGTCCCAGCAAACGCCATCCTGACGGTGCGCACAATTCTTGGCCTGTTGTTGCCTGATCTGAAGCATATCAGTCTGCCGATGAGAGCTCTAGCCTTTGCGATACGTTCCTCAATTCTTCTTCTCCATGCTGGGATAGCGCTACTATGGCCAGTAGCGCGTCCAGCCGTGGAAACCTTGGCGCCTATGATACGGCAGACTGCCAGCGCGGCGTCAAAAAGAATTGATTCCGTCTCGCAAAGGTCCCGGCTGGCTTCCAAATAGGTCACCAGCATTGGGTTCAGAGCCCTCACAACAGCCCGATTCCGCTTGCTTAGGGCTATGCAGGGAAGTCGCGGTCGATTTTTGAGAGGCGTACTGCGCGTTTCCACAATCGCCTCTTCCAATGTACTCCTCATATGCTCTAATTCCAGTTCCTGGGCGACTGTTCCATCATCGTTTGAATCAACCACAACTGGGGTATTCACGGCGGCATCCACGTTTGCGGGTTGCTCTACCATTTGTGGTGCCGCATCCTCAGCCGTAGCATTCTCATCCGACGAGGGAACAGCCTCACGTCGTAGCTGTTCGAGTTCGGCGACATCAAATATATTTGAGCGCAAGATACACCGAACTCGGTCTGCCAGGTTTTGCTCTGTGACGGTTAAAGATGGCTCCAGCTCAGCAAAAAGACGATGCATCCTAGCCCGATACGCCAAACATCCAGTTTCTTCCCCTTTTGCCCTAAAGTACGCCCGCAGTGCGTTTGCATTCATTGCTTGTGACCAACGCATGCGACGTGCTCCACCAGCGACGGGTGCCGCTTGCTGAGTCCGAGAAGACCCAGCCGACACCAAGCCTTCTGGTGGGGATGATACATGCGGAGGGCTGCTAGGTGACCGTGCAGCTCCTCGCGATCGGCTGGCGGCCCGCATGCTGCCGCGTCCAGCGCCAGCTCCAGACGCGCCCCGGCGACCCCCAGGCAGCGGCCCTTTGCGCACTATCTTCTTATCCATCATCCATTATTTGGGCGTCCATTAACGGGAGACGCCCAGGCCCGGCACCGTTTCGTGTGTAGCCATAAGCACAAACGGGCCTCTGTACCCTAAATTCTACGAGAGGTATTTCTTGTGTACTTTAAGACCTTAAATAATAAGGGTATTTTACATATATATTTCATATTGGGACGCAATCTTTTCGTTGTCTGGTATGATTTGACCATCCTCCTTTAGCGCTAATATAATTCCTACGAGCTTAGCCCTTGTCCTATATATGTAACCTGTCAATTCAAACGGGCAAATTCCCTGACCTCTTTAAGAGGGCACTAGTTCATCCAGTCCAAGGTAGGTAAACGGTAAGGGTATGGGAGGTAAACGGAACATTGTAAGCAACTACGGGCCAATATCTGTGCTTCCGGATTTTTCTAAGATAATGAAAAAAGTAATCAATTCACGTCTTGTGAATTTTCTCGAAAAATATACTTTAATAGCTGATAATCAATTTGGCTTTCGTTCTGGAAAACCAACAGAAGACGCTGTAAGGGCCATTATCATTTTTGCTTATTTTTTTTTTGTGCATTTGTATTAAAAAATTAAATACTTGTATTATTTTTATATCTTCTGTCTACAATTAATCGAAGTAGGTAGGTGTAAGTTTTAATATAAAATCTATTAATGTATAATAGATTTTATATTAAAACTTACACAACAAAAATAATTTGTTTAATCATTGCTAAAAAAGTGACGAAAACGTCACCCCCATGTCGTGTGCAACATCACTTTATGATACTACAGACTCAAATAAAATAAATATATCAATAATAGATAAATAAATTCACATTATTTTACGATAAAACATAGACTAAACTTTCTATAAAACACCAAATAATTAAAACAAAAATAAAATAATGAATTCTAAATATTTCATAACTTTTGTGCATGGAAGAAATATCAACTCCATGGATAAACCCATTGACGCAGCCATAATACAATAAATCAGTAAACAAAGTTTTTCAACGAATACAGACAACTAATACAACGCTATCTTGAAAAATTTTGACAATTTTTCATTGCTGGAATAATCATTTTGGAGTAAAGACCTTTAAGGTGAGATTTTTTTTAAATTAGCATGTATTTTCTGTCCTTTTTGTGGATTCCTTATCAAGCAGTATTTATTTAATTAAGGTCTATCGGATATTCTAAATTGATGGATTTTCTTAGTGTTTCGTCGTTTTTTTTGCAATTATCATTTGAGGTTATGAAAATACGGTGTCTAAGTTTAAAATGTCACCTCCATAGATGTCACCCACGTGGATTACGGTTATCCACGGAGGTGACGTAATGTCCATGATGTGACAATAGTATGATTGCTCTTTAGTAATTTAAAAATTATTATTAACGTGATAAATTATTAAGATATAATTTATTCATAATAAAATATTCCTTAACCCAGGATAGTTATGGCACCCACCAAAAAAAAAATCAAGAAGAGATCATACGCAAGAAAAATAATGTGAGAGGCGACATCGGGAAAAAATAAAGCCCGATACACAATAGTATAAACAGGCTAAAGCTAAAGAAAGAGAACGTTATAGAAAGCGAAAAGAAGAGAAGAAAATCATACCCATTCGTCAAATGTCAGAAAGAAAATAGAGAAAAGAATGGCGTAAGAGGCAAAAAAAAGAAAAAAAGACGTGTGGCACTCGGAGACTGCCGCGGTAAAGCTATTGCATAGCATTTTGTATCAACTTATGCAATTATAATTATTTATTTATTTTATTTATGCAGTATTTCTTTTTCTTTGATATTAATTCAAGTTACTTAGGTTAATCCAATCAAATTCAACCAGATTTAACCAAACCCGCGTTATAACGAACTCACTATTTGTGAAAATACTGTATCACCGGACCGCGTCGCAAAAAACTCAGGTTCGCGCAGTACATACTGACGTACCGTACGGGCGGCCGTACGGCAATTATATTAACAAGACGCGCAACTACTCAGTTCCACGCTCCACGGCAAGATTTGTCACTTATTATTTATTGTCCAATTAATTGTCTTTAAGTTCAAATGGCACGCTCTATTAACATAAGTCTAAGACAAAACAAGGAGACTTTCAATATATGAACAACCCGGCTTCGCGTTTGTGTTAGTAAAATAAGCTCTTATTAAGTTAGCTTAGAGTTTAAATTAGTGTAAGCTATACGCAATCCTTGTGGCATAATGAATGTAGGTTAGTATTTTATTGACTCCCATTGTCTCGGCCGATGCGACGGTTGGACCGTAAATGTAAACAGATGACGCTTTCTAACGATAATGAATATAATGTTATAACAGTCAATGGTTCATTATTCTAATGTGTTGTAAGATTAAAAATATATAATGAAATATATTATCTGTTGTATGTTATAACGCGCAACTTTAGGGGTGACCGACCGCGCGCACAAATGCAGCTAGCCTCCCCCCTCCCGCACCTCACTAATCGTCGCTTCACACCGCTTGAGATAAGACGATCTACTATCAGGCGCTAACAAACCCCCGTCCCGGACATAAGGACCTATGTCCGCGAGTAAATTGGCAATTAGAAGACGCTTTGTATTGTTGGTTTTTACAAAAACGATCAACTGGGCAAATGATATCTGGCCCTTTGCTTTGTGAAAAAGCATTACAGTTAAGTAAAAAATTTGGTGACGGCGGCTCGTTTGTCGCAAGTAACGGATGGTTATATAGATTTATATCTCTTCATGGAATTTAATCAATGTTTATTAAAAAATAATAATTTCTTAATAAACATTGATTTTCGTTGAAATTGTTGTTTTTAATAAACACATAACATTATGTATGTACATATGTACTACAAATGCACAAAACCCGCTTTTCTATCATACATTCGATCATCCGGATTTTCGATTATCCGAATCCCTAACGGCAACAATTAGTCCGGTTAATCGAGTATATATATACATATTGAGAATCTAAATTGAGAATTTAAACTATACGCGTGTGTGTGTTTTTGTGGTGTGTATATAAAGAGGGCTACTTTTAATATCGCTCATTTTAATATCAAAAATTTAGGTTATCTTTATAGCAGTATTATATTTTCAATTCAAAATTAGTACTGCATTTGTGATAATAATAAAATGTAGGTATGTATATAGAGTACTCAATCATTTTCTTTCACTATTTTTTCTTGACTTTCTTCATTAATAATAAATGCACTTTGTTCATTCATATTCAAAATTTCAAAACACTTTATACACAAACACCGTGTCGAAGACTGAGGAAAAGAAACGAAGTTAGAACATCGTTAGACAATGCACGGCCTTCAAGCCACACCTCCGTGCCCGTCGGAGAGCATGAGGTTTTTTCGTTACGAAATTTCTGGATTTTCCCGCGCTCAAGGCCCGCGATAGAAGCTATGCAATAGCTTAAAAATAGAAAATGCAAGAATAGATTTTATCCCGTTTGCGAGATTTTTTTATAGGATAAGGGTGATAAACGAGCACACAGTCCACCTGATGGTAAGTGGATGCTGCGGCCCATAGACATCTACATTTATCCTCGATTAAGAATCAAAATGCAGATGCGTTGTCACCCTTGAGAACTAAGATGGAATGCCTCGTTTCCAGTAAAATTGGTCTTCGGTTCTCTACACTCACCATACGAAACACAGCAGCAATTAAGCTGCTATTTTAAGCTGGTATTCTGTGAGAGCGTGATCCCTCCCCGGTCGAGCCGACCCATTCGTGCTACAACCATAATATCTGCAGCGTGGCTCTACTACGTATACCACGTCTACCACGAGATGATACACCACCTTCAAGTAATATTGAAAATGATCCAGTGTTAGTTAGGCATTCTCCTACAAAAAGTGTGATGATGAGTACACGGAGTTAGTTTGGCTACAATGTGAAGATATTTCAGAGGTCAATCGTGATATTATTGCTATTTTACCACAACCACGTTGCGGTCGAAGAAATGTGGCATACTTCAAAAATACTTTGTTAAGTTCATTCTCCCATCTTCGCTAAAATTATTCAATGAATAAGATTCTTTGCGGTGTTTGAGTTTTTTCTAAGGATGATTATGTTATTACTACTTTTTATTAGTTTATTAAGGTTTCTCGTTTATAAATAATTTTAAAAGTCTCAGATACTTTATTTTGTAAAAGTTTTGCAAAGTTATATGAATAATACTAAATAATGTTGATTAATAATAAGTACCCGGATGACCGGGTAAAATAAGTTTGATAATCTCTGTCCTACATAATTATTATTAATAAGAGTACCTGGATGACCGTGATTTTTTTTTTTTGAAATTACTTTTATATACAAATTACATACTTATGAAACATAAATAATATTTTTTGATCTTATTGACATAATAGAAAAAACTGAACTGGTTATTTGAATAAAAAATCATGAGTGCAATTAGTTTAATTAAAATTAAGATACTAAAAAAAAGGGCTCGAAATAGTAGATTTTCTCATAAAAGAAGGGAACGTGAATCTGTCTTCTAATCTCCTCACACTAAATATTCCTAAAACTAAATTTATAACTTTTTCGTAAAAAAAAATTCACAATCTACATTAAACGCCTATGAAATCAAAATACACACATGCAATTCCACAAATCGGTAACATGCATGCTCGTATAAATCAATAGAAAGAGTAGAGAACATTAAATATTTGGGTATCCACATCGACAGTAACCTAAATTGGAGCACTCACATTGCACAACTTACTGGTCGTATCAGAAAACTCATATACATTTTTAAAACTTGGAAAGTAGCTGATAAACATAAAAAATATGGTATACGGGGCCAAAGTTGTTCAAAACGACTCTAAATCAATAGCATGCTACAGACTATAAGCTATAAATTTCTAGCGCGCTATTAAATACGCTATGTTATAGCGTGCTATTTATAAGAAAGCGTGTAGGAGGCCGGTAAGCGCGTTAAGTTTTACAGCACGTTATATCTCTTAGCACGTTACATTATATGCCGTTCATTGGATACAT